TAGGAAAAAAATGATACATTAAATGGAAGGAAGGAAATAGAGTATATTAATGAAAAAGAAAGAGAGAAAGAATAATCAAAAATTTCTCCATTCATTCATTCATTTATTTATTTGAAAGCCACAGCAACAGAGAAAGAGAGAGAGAGAATGAGAGAGAGAGAGAGAATCTTCCATTTGCTGGTTCACCCCACAAATGGTCACAACAGCAAGGTCTTGACCAGGCTGAAGCCAGAAGTCAGAAACTGTCCAGGTCTCCCATGTGGGTGGCAGGTGTCCAAGCACTTGGGCCTTCTGCTGCCTCCCAGGTGCATTAGCAGGGAGCTGGATCAGAAGTGGAACAGCTGGCACTCTAATTGATGCTCCAGATTGGACGCTGATTAAACAAGCAGCAGCTTGCCGGCGCTGCGGCTCACTAGGCTAATCCTCCACCTGCAGTGCTGGCACTCTGGGTTCTAGTCCCAGTTGGGGCACTGGTTCTGTCCCGTTTCCTCCTCTTCCAGTCCAGCTCTGCTGCGGCCCAGGGAGGCAGTGGAGGATGGCCCAGGTGCTTGGGCCCTGCACCCCATGGGAGACCAGGAGGAAGCACCTGGTTCCTGGCTTCGGATCGACGCAGCGCGCCAGCCATAGCAGCCATTTAGGGGTGAACCAAAGGAAGGAAGACCTTTTTCTCTCTCTCTCTCACTGTCTAATTCTGCCTGTAAAAACAAACAAACAAACAAAAACAAGCAGCAGCTGTTTCATCCCTACAGCCCAAAGCCATAAAATTTTCTACTGAAAAGGCATAAAATCATTTTCTAGACTAAGGAAAAAAGAGAAGAAATAATTAAAATTAGAAGCTTAAAGGGGCAAATAAATATAGACATGAAACATTTAAAAATACAGTGATAAGTTAAGCAACATAAAGTCAGTTAATTTGACAAAAATTATAAAATGAATAATAGTCTAGGGAAATAAAGATGTTTATAATTAATTAAAGAACAACTAAAAGGCACGAGCAAATTTATTTATAATCATTATACAAATTGAATCTACCTCTGAAATTTCTTTGTTATATAAAAAAAGCCAACAAAATTTTACTGGCAAGATCACGCAAGCTCTCCAGGGATAGACAATTGTCCCGTTATGCAAGCTGTTGCAAAAAATGGCAAAAGAGAGAAACTCTCTAAATCATTTCAGCAGGCTAATAACATCTTTAAATATTATTTATTTTACTTGAGAGAGCAAGCACGTTTCCATCTGCTGGTTCACTCTCCAAATGCTTGCAGGAAACCAAGAACTCAATCCTGGACTCCCACATGGGAGGCAGGGACCCAGCTACCTCACTCACTTCCTCTCAGGATGTGCATCAGCAAGGAAATCAGAAGCAGATCCAGGACTTGAACCCAGGTACTCTGATATGGGATGTGAGTGTCTTAACCAACATTCTAATCCCTATGCTAAATACTGCCGCTAGAACAGCTTGATAGCCAAAGCAGACAACTGACACTATATAGAAACCTTAAAAAGTTTATCTCTATGATAAGTATATATGCAAGAATCATAAATAAAATAGTAGTAAATTGATCTCAACCCTGTGTGTGTTTATATATAGGACTAGGCTCAAGAGGACAAAGGGGATTTAATGTTAGACATATTTGTTAATGCAATTTACCTTATTAGTAGATTAAAGGATTAAAAAAGGTAACTTGAAAAATATATAGAAAATACAACCCAGTCATTATTTAGAAACCTTTAACAAAATAAGAATCGAAGGAATCTTTCTTAATTTTGATAAACAGAATCTAGTTCAGTCGAAAGCAAACATCCTAATTATTGATAGAAACGTTGCTTTCAAAATCAGAACCAAATCAAGGATGCCAGTTATCAACTTCCATTCACAATTGCATGGAAAGTCTTAGCCACCTGTGACACAAAATAATGTGGATTAGATATGGACTGATGTAAAATGGTTGCAAACACACGTCTGACAAAGGACTTGTACCCATATTGTCAAAGGACCTTTTTTCTAGAATATGTAAATAACTATGGTTTACTTATTAATAATCTTAAATGATAAAGACCCTAGGCCGGTGCTGCGGCTCACTAGGCTAATCCTCCACCTTGTGGCGCTGGCACACAGGGTTCTAGTCCCGGTCGGGGCTCCAGATTCTTTCCTGGTTGCCCCTCTTCCAGGCCAGCTCTCTGCTGTGGCCAGGGAGTGCAGTGGAGGATGGCCCAAGTGCTTGGGCCCTGCGCCCCATGGGAGACGTGGCTCCTGCCTTTGGATCAGCGTGGTGCGCCAGCCGCAGCACGCCGGCCATGGCGGCCATTGGAGGGTGAACCAACGGCAAAGGAAGACCTTTCTCTCTGTCTCTCTCTCTCACTGTCCACTCTGCCTGTCAAAAAAAAATCCTATGAATAAAATGATAAAAATTTGTTGAAGTACATAAATGTTAAGCTTTGGGAAAAGATATATATTAAGTTATAGGAAGATTCAATATAGAGATACCAAGTTTCATGTCCTAAATCTCCAAATTTGATGAAACTAATCACAATCTGATGACTTTTCATAAGCTTGACTGAAAACTAATCCTAAAATTTGGATGAATAAAGGGCCAAGAATAGTCATTAAAATCTTGATGAAGAATTAGAAGGAAAAATTTTTCTCACCAGATATTAAGTTATTATAAATCTAGGTTAATAAAAGCAAGATGATATTGATGTAGGTACAGACAAATAGTCCAACAAAACAGATAACTACAAACAAACCTGTGTGTGTGTGTAAGGCTGGTATATGAGGAAGCTAACATTGTAGATCAGTAAAGGGACCATACAGGCAAGGAGAGAACAACATTAAGTACATGATTTTGGAAAAACTATTTGCCATATTTAAAAAAGGATAAAATGTAATGCCCAATTATGACTTTCACAATAAGTAATTCCAGGTGAGTTAAAGCTCTGATTGTGAAGTGCAAAACTTAAATAAATTTCAAAGAAACAAAGAAAACATTTTTATAATTCGTGAACAATGATATCGCAAACAAGATACAAAAAAACCTAAGACAGAAATGAAAAATCTGATTATAAATGAAATTACAGGGGTAATAAGTCGCTGTTTGGGATGCTCTTATCCTGTATCAGAGTGCCTGCTCCAGTCTGAAATACTCCATTTCCAACTCCAGCTTTCTGCTAACATAGAAGCCAGTAGGTAGCAGGTGGTTTCCTGTCTCCCATCTGGGGCATTCAGACTGAGTTCTGGGTTTCTGGCTCTCTCTCTCTCTCTCTCTCTCTTTTCTTTCTCTTTCCCATTCTCTGTCTCTGTCTCTGTCTCTCTGCCTTTCAAATAAAATAAAAACAAAAAGTAAATAAAATTAAGGTTAAGTAGCAGTATATTTTTAAATATCTATATAAAAATAGGTACCATGAACAAACAAGAAAGATAAGCTATACATTTTTTAAAATGTAAATGAAAGTATTAAAGACAGCATCCAAGTTATAGCTTGATAAGAGCAACAGTTATAGGGTTCTATTCCACATAGTGTATATTTCTCTTTAAAATTTGAAAAAACTAGAATATAGGATTTTAGATGTTTATTCCATAAAGAAATGTTATATATTTGAAGATAGAGGTATTTATCCTTACTCTACACAACACAATATGCACATAAATTGAAACATCAGGTGGTACCTCATAAACATGTATACTGTAAAATAAATAAAAAGAACATCAATAGTAATGAAAAAAATTCAGTAAAGCAACATTGAGATAACCCAAGCACCTCAATTTTTTCAAAGTGAAATTCTGATAATGTCAGATGTCTCAAGGTTTCCATCTAAGTGTTTAATGTGAGAATCAGGATCTAGCATACAACTTTAGCAGAGTAATAATCTACATTTGCATCAATAGGAGATAACAAATATATTACATGATGAAGTATGGTGCAGAGAAATTAATGAAAGAGATTTATTAGAAAAATAGGAAAACATAAATGAAAAAACAATTATCCAAAGCAATATTGAATGTTAAATTGCTTACCTATATTCTCAGAATATGTAAAACACAATTACATATTGCTCATGGAAACGTAAAAGTACAGGAAGGGGCTATAACAATCTCAGGATATGTAAGGGTTATCTCTAGGAGCATGGAAGGAAAGTTGGGTAGGGATGGTTACTTTCACATCCGTCTTATTTAAGACAAAAGCTCTGAAATAATTATGGCAGTGTTTTGTTAAATCTAAGTGGGTAGAAAGGAATCTGATATATTATTTTCTGACCATTCTTCAAATTTGAAATTTAATTAAAACAAAGTTTTAAAAAGTCATACAAAGTTTTTGCTTTAATGCATAAGAGAATAAAATTAAAGTTAAGTAGCAGTAATAAAATCTTTTTGAGCTATAACAATTTGTAAACAGCTATCCAATGCTTTGTTATCTATTTTCAAAGTTCTTTTGAATTATAAGAAAAGAAGAACTTGCTATAGTTTACAGTTGGTTTGCACATTTGGTTGGAGAGATTTGGCAAGGATTTTATTTACAAATAATGTTGATATCCTGGAAGCACTAATAGTTAGTTATTTGTAGCAAATATGCAAATAGATTTTAAGTGGGCAACACCAGATGGGATACTTGGTCATTTTTAAATGTCATGTTTCCCACATTCCCAGCACCACTGATGGCTGAAGACCCAGACAGCAGTAGGCAGTTCTTGCTGTAAAAACCCCATTTACTTTGGCTACCAGGAAACTCGGGGCTTACTGGGCTACTGGCAAAGCAGCCAATTTAACCTGGTTTGGGATCTTTTTTTATTCTACCGTTAACTTGTTTTTAATATTTGATTTCTCTTGCAATAGTATACCTGTCCTTTATTTTAAAGCAATTCCAAAGGTAATACAAAACAAAGCTAAGACATTAAAAGAGTAATTGAAATGTCAAGAACTCACTTACCTTCTTTTATATTACATAAATATTCATTTATGTGTTCTAAAACTGTTTTTCTGACTTCTGTTTTCCCTTGTCTAGGATGATGCTCATTTAATCAGACCGTGGAGTGTCAATTATACTTCTGCAAAAAATGTAATTGGAATCCCCAGAAATAGGTTTGTTCCAACGACAACCTCTTTTATGTCTTCTATTTTAGTCTTATGTGGAAGCTCACATCACATTACCATTCATTAAATCATTCATTGATTTCACAAGCATTCCTTGGGTGCTTACTACATATGTTCAAGGAACACATCAAGAAGTGCAAAAAGTTACCAGAAATGTAATCTCTTAAGGAAAGTTACAGTGTCACATAAGGATTGGCCTTGTGAGATGAAAAACAGATTCAGAAGCTTTGTGTTTTTTTTGTTTGTTTGTTTGTTTGTTTTTGATGACTTCAGGGAAGTTGCCAGTAATTGTGTTTTGGGGCATACAGAGAAGGTGTTAGGGGAAATCTTGTTGTCACACTGTCCAGCAGCCCTGGTGGTCTCTCACTCCCTAATACTAGTTCAAAGCACCATATAGAAGCTCATTCCCACCATGCTGAGAATTCACACAGAAATTCGATAATTATGGTTTCATTATTCTGAGCAATTACAAAGTTTACATATATTATTTCAAACATCAGGAAAGAGGACATGATAAGTAAACATCTAAAATGATTTCTGTTTATTCAGATATTTTCTAGCAGAGTCAGAAAACCCACACTGATAATCAAGCCCAGTCTATTTTATTTCTCATCTGACACTTCATGGGGAGCTTTGGGAATGTCAGCATGGCTCCAGCTTTTGATTGGACTCTGAATTTTAGTCTGTATCCCAAACTACTCAAAACAAGTTTATCCTCATCCCTTTATAAATGATCCTCAAGTTAAAATTTCATTAACACTAGATCAGTGGGAAGGATAGCGTTGTGTGCAGAAATGAGCCAGGTGTGTTTCGCAGGCTGTGGCTATGAGAGAGCTCCCTGGGCAAAGATGAGAGCAGCCCAAGGTAACTTTGGGCGGATGCAGTCTTGAGAGAGGAAGGAGAGAGTTAAGTGTTAAGATACATTCAGCTTAGCAAGAAACAAGATACACCTTCTGTTTTTCTATTTCACCTTTTACCTCATTCACTTTGGCAGATGCTCAGGTTATTCCTTGATTAAAATGCTTCATCTGCTCCTGTAAGACTTTTGACAAAATACATGCTTATTTCAAAAAGTTCACAGAACACAGAATTTAAAAATAAGCTTATTTTGGTTCAAAAATTAGAACTCCATATATATGAGAGGTTTTCAAAAATATCATGAAAAACATATATTATGAAAAAAAACCTATGTATAGTTTCCACGTTTTTACCAAAATAAATTTGCATTCTGTTTCCATTTTCCATATACTTTTTTTTGTTTACTTGTTGGAGTCATTTTTAATTTAACGTGTTACAGAGTTTATTGATCTCTACAGCTATAATTTCCTGTGTCCTTGATATGCTATTTTCTCCATTGCTTATTCCACTTAGAATATCCTCATTTGCCTAACTACCACCTGTTTTTTAAGACCTGAGTCAACCAACATCACCTCCAGAAGGTCTCCCCAGATCTAGTCAGCTGAGGCTGATACTTCTCTTCCGTGATCTCTCAATGCCTATTGTATCCTTCTAGCATTGCACTCATCACGTAGTACTATATCAGCTAGCTTGCTTCTGATTGCTTCGCCATTTGCTAATCATATCATCTTTTCCGGTAGCTATTAGAGTACTGCAAAATGCCTGTGGGAAAATGGAATTAGAAGATATGTTTTGATGTAAAAACAAATTTGAAATCCTTGCATAGTTCTTCATAATATGTATTTTCCATGATTTTTTTGGGTGTATTGCTTGTATTGGTTCAATGACTGAATGACTATATGAATAAATGACAAGAAAGACTTTGGAACCTCTAGAGGCTGTCAGATGACAAATTTACAAGCTTCTGGCATGCTGAGATAGCCACATTTGGGGTATTCAACTTGTGCTCTCATTTTTTCTTGGGAGAGAGCCTGGAAACGTTCCAAAGCAGGTGAAATTTTTTCAGTACTTTATATCTGCTCTTCCTCCCTGCACTTGGATTCCCTTGTCCTGATCTCTCTGCCTATTATCCAATGACCTTAAAACAAAGGTCCTACTGAGCTATGAGTGACACTGTGTTATAAATTCTAGAGTTCCTACACCTTTACAGAATTTCATGGAAACAAGAGGGCAGTGCTTAGTCCAAAAGAAAACAAGTATTTAATGGGATTTCAGGTGTAGCAACCAAGAAAAGAAGGTGTTTGAAGATTGAGGCTTTCCCAACATTTTTCAATCCACATTATATTCAACAGCTCAATGATCTGGTAGGCAAAATGCCCTGGACATGTGGGGTGCAGTGTAGAAAACTCAACTAATTTGAGTTTCCTTCTCTGACAGGTTTGGTTCTCAACACCTAGCCACGGCACCTTTTTTGTCACAACTAAAGGGATACTACCTGGCATCTAGCAGGTGGAGATCAGTGATGCTGCTTCTCGTCCTTTAAAGCACAGATCTGTCATTCCCAACAAAGCATTTTTAAGAGTTTTTATTTGTTTTCACTTTGAAAGCATAGAAAGAGAGAGACAAGTATCTTTCATTTGCCACTTCACTCCCTAATGCCCACAAAAAGCAGGGTTGGGGTCAGGCTGAAATCAGGGAGCAGAAGTCAAACCAGGTCTCCTACAAGGGTGGCAGGGACCCAGGTACTTGAACCCCACCTGCTGCCTCCTGCGATGCATATCAACAGGAAGCTGAATCCGGGGAATAGCCAGGACATCAGCCAGGCATTCAGATATGGGAGAGAATCTCAGGCAGCATCTCAACCAGTGCACCAAACACTCTGAGTTAAAGCAAATGAAATTTCATATTGGAGATGTAAGACTGCTAATTCCTTCTTAAAGTAAAACTTCAGAATTCTTCAAATATATGTCTCTGATTCCCCATTTGTGAAGTTACATAGGGCTTGGGATGTGGAAATAGTAATTCCAACCACACGGCACATATATTTTCTCTGTTATATATCTCTTTTAAGCAAAAGAGGACATTTAAATGAATGCTACAATATACTCAACAGTTTCAATTTTCTTGTTAAATCAATTTTTCTTTAAATACCATAATTAGTGATTGTTCCTTTTTCTGATAGTAAGAAAAATATATATATTTTCCATTTTTGTTAAAATGTTAAATGCAATGAGCCTGATACAGAAAGAAAATATACATTCTCTCCCAGATGTGGAAGTTTAAAAAATTTGATCTGAATTTACAACAGTAATAACAAAAGGCTGGGAAGGGGGAGTTTGGATAACAGATACCCAAGCATAATCAGATAGAAATGACAAATCCTAGTGTTCCACATGGTCCACAACAATGTATTACAAAGAACTAGAAGTGGGGAATTGATATGTTCCAAACTCAAAGAAAAGATAAGGAGACAGAAATACTAACTACTTGATTTGATCTGTTTCTCATGTTCAAATATTGCAGAGTAACACCACAAAAATATACAAGGGAGAGTGTTTGGCCTAGTACTTAAGCCATTGCTTGGGACACCCACATCCTCTATTGGAATGCTTAGATTTGAGTTCCAGCTCCGTTCCTTTCCTAACTTTCTGCTAATGTACAATCTGGGAGGCAACAGGTAATGTTCCAAGTACTCAATTCCTTGTTGTCCACCTGGGGGACCCACTGTGAGTTCCCAGATCCTGGCGTCAGCCTGACCTAGCTCAGGCCATTGTGGGCATTTGAGGAGTGACCCAAAGGATGGGAGCTCTCTGTCTGTCTCTTTGTCTTTCAGATAAATATATAGAAATTTTAAAATGCACATGTATTACATGGCAATCAAAATTATAAAACAAATAATTTAAATGTTTCAAAAGGCAGGGGATACTGGATTGTGAAGGTTTGAAATGTTCAAACAGAACTGTGTGTTTTACATTTGAAAGAAAGATGAATTTTAACCAGAGCTGCTGCCCTGTGTGGTGATAGGAAGTGTGGTCTGAAGAGCAGTGCCCTGGATCAGGAATCAGAGGCCTGTTTCTGTCTCGTGGTGCTCAAAGTATGGCTCTAGAGTGGTCACCGCATAAGTACTACCTGCGAGCTTGGGAAAATGCAAGTTCTCAGACCCCAGCCCAGACCTGTTGACTCACTCACTCTGGGTTTGGAGCCCAACAGGCAAGCCCTGCTAGTGAGTCTGATATATGGTCAAGTGTGGGAACCACAGGCACAAACTCTTTCACTTGTCCTTAATCACTTTCACATTTTCTGATCCCTGATGTCTTTGTGTATTTACCTCCCTGGACAAAAACAGGAGATTTGAATATATAGAGGTTTGTAAACTGCAAAACATAATACAATATTATGAACAAATCATAATCATAATGCTATGGGGGAGAGAAGGCTCGGATCTCATTTTCAAATGTGTACTTGACTTTTGCTGTCCACTATCCCTAAAGTTGAGGTGTCTACTCTGGGACAGGTGGCTCGGCTAGTTATCAATCAGATAGAGGTTCTTGGAAATGACTCAGTGTTTACCAAGGTAAGCAAGAAAACTTGCAAGCTATGCAAAAAAGGCACCCCCAAACATCTAACGAGTGCATCCTGGCCTAATTGTACTTCGTCTCTGTTGATAACAAATTGTACACTGAACTTCAGTTTTACCGATAAAATCTAAGAACTAAAAACACACTGTGAAAATGGCATTTGGTTCTGGTTGGTCACCCATTGTCTCAAGAAAAAAAAAAAAGGAATAAAGTCTTTGTATTAATCTCTAAATTAATAATTTCAAAGTTGGTTTCTCATGCCCTTATTTCTTTTTTCATTTTTGGACTATTGTAAAGGTAAATGCTGTTAGAATGATGCAAGTTGTGGCACTGCAGTTGAAACCTTAGTCATAGGATTACTTTTTATTATGAAAATAAAATAATCTGGAAAACTCCTTGTGTTCTAGCTGAAGTTTCAGCATATTATGAGAACAGGTAACCTTCTCCCTCTCCCCAGTTACAATTTAGCAGAGCCTCTATATACTGGAAGTTAAGGGTTCTAAGTTATTTTATTTCCTTTGTTGCATAAACTCAAAATGATATCTTAGAAATTTGCGTGGGCACCAAGGTAAAATCCCTGTAAATGCTATTTCAATTGAGAGTAAATATACAAGTTATTCATTTATTCACAGCTAGTTTTAATCTAGTACATGTAGAATCATTACCCACCTCCCAGAATTGTTTTCAGAATTTGATAAGATATTAAGATATTTAGTACACATAAAGAACTTAATGCAGCAGTTGAAGCATAGTAAGGGCTAATTTAATAATGTACATATTAATCTCCAACAGTTGGTTATGGAAATCATGAATACACTGACCAGCTTTCCAAAAGTTATAGCACCTTTTGGTCCGTATATTCGCATAGGTGATGACTTAATGGGATTTTGGTCATGGAGTGCTCTGGACTTGGAATTTGGGTTATAAAAGAATATTTGTGGAACAATGGATCAATATGTGAGCATATCATTGCACTTGCTGATAAGGAGAGTCAAATGGAGCGAACTTTTATTGCCAAAATGGGGTGCTGAAAAAGATGTCCTTTGCCTCCTGATGACATTCAAATTTGAGAACAAATACTGCATGTTCCCATTCATTTGTGGGAGCTAAAAAAATGTTGATTTCCTAGAAATAGAGTTTAACAGCGATCACTAGAGGCTAGGAAGGGTGCGATGCCGAAAATTAGACAATGGTAATAAAACACAAAAAGAATGAATTAGTTCTAGCATTATATAGCACAGTAGAGTAACTGGAGTCTACGCTAATTTATTATATATTTCAAAATAACTAAAAGGCTTTGAAGCTTCCAAGCAATAGAAATGATAAATATTGGGTGGAAACACTAATTCTCTTGATTTGATCATTACACATTGAATTAATGGATTGAATTATCTTACTGTATTCTTTTTTTTTTTTTTTTGACAGGCAAAGTGGACAGTGAGAGAGAGAGAGAGAGAGAGAAAGGTCTTCCTTTTGCCGTTGGTTCACCCTCCAATGGCCGCCGCGGCCGGCGCGCTGCGGCCGGCGCACAGCGCTGATCCGATGGCAGGAGCCAGGTGCTTTTCCTGGTCTCCCATGGGGTGCAGGGCCCAAGCACCTGGGCCATCCTGCACTGCACTCCCTGGCCACAGCAGAGGGCTGGCCTGGAAGAGGGGCAACCGGGACAGAATCCGGCGCCCCGACCGGGACTAGAACCCAGAGTGCCAGCGCCGCTAGGCGGAGGATTAGCCTAGTGAGCCGCGGCGCCGGCCTATCTTACTGTATTCTGTAAATAAGTATCATTTAGGATTAAATGTCAAAGGGATTGCATAAATAAGACCAAGTGTCTCCTATTAATAATTGATAGAATTAAAAAGGAGAGAATGATCCAACATGGGAAGTAGGACATACAGCAGACTCATAGAATGATGAATGCCCTAAACAGCATTCTGGTCTCAGATTAAGCCCTTAAGGCATTTGGATCTGGCTAAAAAGCTCATGGGAACATTTCAGGCATGAAAAGCCAAGGCACTGTGGCAAAAAAAATGACCTACATGAAAGATCTCTGTGAGTGAGAGCCCAGCGGAAAGAAGGGGCCATCAAAAAAGGAGGTACCTTTCTCTGAAGGGAGGAGATAACTTCCACTTTGATTATGGCCCTTTCTAAATACTGACAGAGTTTGTGGACTCAAGAGACTTCCATAGCCTTGGCAGCTCATGATAAAAGCCTCGGGTGATCAGTTACATCATAAATAAGAGTGTCAATCATTAAATCAACAACAGGAGTCACTGTGCACTTGCTCCTCATGTAGGACCTCTGTCCTTAATTTGTTGTACTCTGGGAATTAATGGTAAAACTAGTCTTCAAGCAGTACTTTATACTTTGAGTGTCTGTGTGGGTGCAAACTGTTGAGTATAGAGTTGATCTTCTGTATATACAGATAATTAAAAATGAATCTTAATGAAGAATGGGATGGGAAAGAGAGTAGGAGGTGGCATGGTTTGGGGGTGGAAGGGCAGGTATGGGGGAAGAACCGCTATAATCCAAAAGTTGTACTTATGAAATTTATAGTTGTTAAATAAAAGCTTTATATAGTAGTGGTGGTTGCTATACTTATAATCCATCTCCCTGCTAAGGTGCCTGGGTATGGTCCACATGCTTGGGCCCCTGCACCACGTGGAGACCTGGAAGAAGCTCCT